CGGGAGGATGGAGATGAGCTTACCGACGGGCACCCCGGCGAAGCTCCCTGGCTGCCCCGGCCCACGCCTGTCCATCCCAGCGGTGCCTTCCTGGAAAGCCGTCGCTCTGCCCGCCTGAGCCGCTAGTCCGTCTCCCGCCTGGCTTCACTGTCGCCTCCTCTGGAAAGTCGGCCCACATGCCATCCGGGGCTCCGTCCTCCCTCTCTGGCCTCCCTCCACATTCTGTTCGCAAGTCAATGGCGCGTGCTGATACCCTGAAGAGTAACTGTGTTTTGTCTCTGCATCAAGAAATCAAACATCGATTCCTTGTTGCACATGCTGGACGCTGTGGACAAAAAGGCATGACCGCCGTCATCCATCATGTGAGCATCATGGGGACAGTCAGACAAAAGGTGTGATCACTCCGCTGCAAGGTAAACACCCTGCTCTGGACACGCACACACAGAGTCAGACAACAGAGAAGGACCGCCCCGGACACAACGGGGGCCACGGACGGGTTCCAGGCGAGGATGGGGCTGTCTCGCTTCCTCGACGGGACCCACTTGAAGGCAAGGACTGCGTTCTACGACGCTGACCAAATGCTCCAGAAAACGGTAAAACTCAGATTCAGGTTCTTGAGGAAAACCCAGTGGCTCTCAGGTTCCCTGGGGGGGTGGGGGTGGGGGCATTACACACCCATCACAGCAGCTTAAGCGCAGCCATGGCCACTGGGCAACCTGGGGAGGGACCAGCCCCACCAGGAAGGCGAAGTCTCCCTGTCTTAGTGACGCCGAGTGCACAGCCCGCCCTTCCTTCCTAAACCACTTTTTGGGGTTGTTCTGTTTAAAGTCGGGAGGAAAAAATAAACTCCTCCATATTCACAAATTTAAATCCGAAATGATTTCCTCAAGTCTTGGGTTTCTAAAATAGGTCAATCCTTCACGCATTTAGAGAAGACATCGACGTGTGAAGCTCCTGACAGACATTGCGAGCAAATTGCCTGCGACTCTGATTCTTGCTTCTGGTAAAATGGAGATTAAAAAAAAAAAAATTACAGAACCTTCATCTTTTTGTCAGAAATAAAAAGGTGTCCCTAGGCTTTTCAATTCACATTTAAAAATGCGTTTTCATAAATAACCTTTTCACAATCTGTACTCTGTTTTAATTTGTCACCATGGAAAACAAGGTAATTGAAGCAGTTTAGAGATTAGTTAACTGTCAACAAAACGAAGCAGCAGTCACTGCACTGGGAGGTTCCGCCGTCGCTACAACCTCCTCAGCGCTAAATCCCCAAACTAGTCAGGTAATTAAAACTTCAGGGGAGCTCTCCAAAGAATGGGAGTATCACCTCACAGAATCTTTCCACAGAATCTAGGTTAAAGAATTGCATGTGCCCGGCTGGCGTGGCTCAGTGGCTGAGCGCCAACCTGTGAACCAAGAGGTCACAGTTCGATTCCCGGTCAGGGCACATGCCCCGTTTGAGGGTTTGATCCCCAGTGTGGGGCATGCAGGAGGCAGCCAATCAATGATTCTCTCTCATCATTGACGTCTCTCCCTTCCTCTCTGAAATCTATATATATATAGAACTGCATGTACATTTCAAATATATATATACACACTTTAACACTCAATTTTCACTCCTTAACTGATGTGAAATAATGGGTGAAGCCAGACTAAGTTTGCAACAAAGAAAATTTATCCTAATGCGCCACAGAACTTTTTTTTTTTATGGGGAGACATTAAAGATAAAGTTATGGTACAAAACGGGCAACAGTCGAGGAATTGAGGCTGCAGCCGAACAAGAGGATTCCCGATGTCTGCGATGCCATTGCTTCGCATTATCAGCAGTGCCTGGACCAGGACGGTCATCAGTTTGAAGACAGGCGTTGATAAGAAAATTATTCACATCTGCAGGTTATTTTAAATTGTGATAATAAACTGTGTGTTAGTAACGCTGACTGTGCAATCATGCAAGTGCACATACGCTGTCTATGTGGCTTTCCCTAGCGACCTCCCGATACTCCCCGTCGTCGACATTCCAGAAGAGAGTGTTCTTACGCCAGAGGAGGAGACGGTGGCCCCTGTCCTGCCATGTCACCGAGCAGGGGCCGCGTGTGGCAGCAAGCAGCGCCCTCCCCAGGACAAGCCTCATCTCTCGCAGCTTCGGGGCCACGTGGAGCACAGGGGCAGGTTTCTGCTCCAGCTCCGAACGGCCTCTTCGATGCTTTAACTGGGACTCAGTTACCGGGTGGGAGTCATCCTCCCAGCCACATCTGCATTGTCCAACCTGAGAGCGCGTGAGGGAGACGAGGTGGAACCGACAGACACCAGCCCCCCGGGAAGGACGCCCACACCTGCCTCTCGGTCACGGTCCTGCTGGTGGAGGAGCTGGCGGCGTGGTTACTATGGCAGGTTTGGTAAGAACAGGGGGGAACAGGAGCCCGGCCAACCGTAAGGCAGACAAGTGAAGAGGCGGAGGCCACGCCCTCCCAGGGGCCCGGCGGGCGGCTGAAGCTGCGGACAGGAGGTCAGCCGTGGAGTATAATCCACGGAGCTCCCCGTGTGCACTTGCTGCTGAGTAGAAAGAGGTAAAAGCCACCCACCCATCCATCCACCCACCCATCCTTCCAGGTGCCCCTCAAGAAATAAATGAAAAGCCATCCATGCCTGTCCTCCCAGAGGTCCCAGTCCAGGGAGGGGGGAGACCTGGAATGACCGTGGGAATGCTGGGGGTCAGCTCCTCTGAGCTTCAAAGTCGCCAAAGCCGCCATGCAGGAAGGCGTCGGTGCAGAGAGCGTGAGCGGAGGTCCGGAAGCTGTTGGCAGACAGTGGTTCTCAGCATTTCCTTACAATCCTTCGTCTCTGATGACAGTTGTCACTTCTCCACTCTCATTTCTGGTTTTAGTTATTTGAGTCGCCTCTCTTTTTTCTTGATGAGTCTGGTTAAAGGTGTGTCAATCTTGTTTATTTTTTCAAAGAACCAGCTTTTGGTTTCAGTGGGGGTTTTTTTTTTTGTAAGTTTTTTAAGACTCTATTTTGCTTTTTTCTGCTCTAGACTTTATTATTTTCTTCCTTCTACTCACTTCAGGCTTGTTGGTTGCTCTTTTTCAGGTGTCAAGTTAGATCATTTGAGATTCTTCCTGTCTCTGGAGGTAGGCCTCTACTGCTATGAGTTTCCCTCTCAGGGCGGATCTCCTGTGTCCCACAGAGTTTGGGCTGGTTCCGTCTGATTATCAAGGTATCTTTGGATTTCTCCCTTGGTCTCATTGTCACCCCAGTGATTGTCACTGTTTACAACATGTTATTTAGCGCCCGTGTCTTCGTGTGTGTTTTCAGTTTCCTTCTTGTGACTGATTTAAAGTTTCAGAGCATGTGGGCAGAGAAGATGCTTGATATGATTCCAACCTTCTTACATTTACTGAGACCTGTTCCATGTGCACTTGAAAAGCACGTATATTCCGCTGCTTTGGGGTGAAACGCTCCGAAGGTATCAATTGCATCCATCTGACCTAGTGTGTCACTTAAGGCCACTGTTTCCTTGTTGATTTTCTGTTTGGAAGATCTTTCCATTGATGTCATGGGGTGTTAAATTCCCCTCCTATGACTGTATCCCTGTCAGTCTCTCCCTTTATGTCCTGTGTTCACTGAAGCGTTATTTACAATAGCCAAGATTTGGAAGCAGCCCAAGTGCCCATCAGCAGATGAGTGGATAAAAAAATTGTGGTACATTCACACAATGGAATACTAGTCGGTCGTAAAAAAAAAAAAAAAAAAAAGAAGAAGAAAATTTACCCTTTGTGACAACAAGGATGGACCCGGGGAGTATTATGTTAAGTGAAGTAAGCCAGTCAAAGAAAGACCAATACCACACGATTTCACTCCTATGTGAACTCTAATGAACAAAACAGACTGAGAAAGGAGACAGAAACAGACTCTCGGAGAGAGAACAGACGGGCAGAGGGGAGCGGGGCCGCAGGGCTGGGTGGAAAGGTGAAGGGCTTAAGGAAAAGTGCTCACAGGCACGGACAGCAGAACGGCCATCACCAGAGGGAAAGGGAGGTGAGAGGAGGCAGAAGGGCAAAGGAGGCATAAACAGTGATGGAAGGAGGCAGGACTTGGAGTGGTGAACACAACATACAATGTACAGATGATGTATCAGAACTGTACGCCTGAACCCTATACAATTGTATTAACCAACGCCACCCCAATAAATTCAATTAAGAGAAAATAAAGAGCAAAACATGAATACCAACTGGGTCCCGCACTTCAGCCCTGTCACTGCCTCCCTCTGACGACAGTCACACCCTCGTCCTTTAATCCTTCCGATTACTGATGTGGAACATCTGTCCGCTACTAATGCTCTTCCTTTACGGTAAACTGGGAAGTGACAGCAAGGATCCGAGGGGTTTGTATTCTCGTAAAAGAATTCCTCTCCCCACCCCACAGCCAGTTTTCAGGGTTCTATTTTCCTCCTCGCATGTTCAGTAAGTCTATGGACCCGATCAAAGAATTACTGAATGGGGAACGAGAAAAACTGATGTGCCTGAATTTAAAAAACGGTGAATTTCTGTTTTCTCCCCTGAGAAGGTTGTCGGCTAAGAATCCATATTGGGCAGCAGAGCGTAAGAGGAAGCCCTGCGGTGTGGAGACGGCCCGGCACGGGCAGGCAGTGACTGTTAAATGACTGGATTACAAAGAGGGGCCCGGGGTGGAGTGTGAGAGGGTGTTACGTGAACATCCTACAGAAGCGTGGCGACAGGCGCCTTGAGCCTCGCCGTGAACTCCAGACCCACCGCCCAGAGTCATCGTCGGCAGCTCAGACTCAGCTAGTGGGTGAGCGAGGCTCTTTCTCCTCCCGCTTCTGTGCCTCCAGCACCAAGTGCTTATCTGGCTCTCAGTACGCACGGCTAACATACCAGGGGGACAGCCAGGAAGGGACGCGAGGTGAGAGAGGGTCCCTGGCTGGGGTAGGTGCGTCGGGCCAACCCCATTGTCAGAGCTGCTGTGATGCTGTCACTTACGTAATCGCCGTAGGTCTCCTGCGTTGGGGGTGGCGGTGGAGGTCTGTACCCGGTTGGGGGGACTCCTCTTGCTCTGGGGGTGAGAAGGCCTCGTCCCCGACTCACAAGCCCTCGGGTGGAAAGGACTCCCCTGGACGCCGACGCCCCTCGTGGGGCCACAACGCCAACGGGCCGGGTGGTGACGCCTCCCCTGCCCCTGCAAGCAAGAGGGACAGGTTAGCAGCGTCTGTCATGTTCTCTGACGTCCCACCGTCCCGCCGACACCTCCGAGGAACCCACGGTCCCGTAAAAGAAAGGAGGAGCCGATATGCGAGGGAGCAAGCAAAGCAAGAGAAGCAGCGGGTCCACCGGAAAGAAGCCCGCTGGGCAGCTGGCCCCGCGCCGGGAAACCGGGAGCATCAGAGACGCCCGCGATTTCGCTGAGACCCTAACCCTGCCCTCATCAATACATCAAGTATCTTTTAAAGACACACACAGCAGCACTTACTGAGGCAACACAAGAAGTGAAATGAAATGCTTTGGCACACAGCTCAGAAAATGTGTATAGAAACCGTGTTAAAAAAAAATACAAGACTCTGAGGAGGGAAATGAAAGAGAAACAAACAGTCCAAGCTCATGGTTTTACGAGTCAATAGTCCTAAGTTGCCAATTCTTCCCGACTTGATGTATGAACTCAGTGCGATCCCCATCCAAATCCCAGGAAGCTATTTTGTAGCTGGACCAACATATTCTAAAGTACACAAGGAAAGATAAAAACAAAAAAACAAGAGACAATACAGTGCCCCAGAAGAAAAATGTTGGAGGACTCATAATGCCTGACTGCAAGACTCGCTTAAAAGCTACCGTAACCCAGAGGGTGAGGACTGAAGACAGGACTAGACACACAGATCGATGGGCGAAAGCACAGAGCCCAGAAATCGATCCACAGAAAGAGTCCAGGGATCACTGACAAAGGAGCAGAGACAGATGAACAATTTTTACCAATGCCAATCACTCCGGACTGCACTGGAAGACACTGTAATTTCTAGCGTGCCTCGTTCATCCTTTTACCTCTGGTACACGTCTAGAAAAGTCTTCAATGCGATCAGAAGAAAAACGCAGTTTCCACTTGCAGTGCATCGAACCCACTGGTGGTATTTCAGCTGATCTGTGTATATTCCAGCCAAGGAAGGCACCTGCTTCCTTATCCAATACCCCTCCAGGGCCATCCAAGGTACTACAAGGGCCACGAAACAGTCACTATGTCTTTTGAATATATAAACGCATGTCTTTCATCAAGTTGAAAGACATGCATTTATATATTTGAGAAGTTCATAATTCCTCCCCATCATCATGGACGTTGTTAGATTGTGGGCCTATGGGGTGTACGGAGTCACACCGAGGTGCCTGCTACAGAATTTCAGACAGGTCGTGTGAGAGGTGTAGCTCCAGACACTTATCTGTCAAAGATGATCTGAAGATTCATTTTCAAGGGAACGTCGACGGGAATGGAGTCTAGCAGCAGTGAGAGTACGGCTCTAAATGATACCTTGGGGAGAGGAAGGCGTGATGCCGAGTGACACGCTAACACACACGCCCTGTCATATGGCGAAGTGCTCGCTGAACGCTAAGACGAGGCTCAGGGCTGAGCTGCACTGCGGGGCTGGGAACAGAAAAAGGCCTGTCGGCTGAGATTACAATGATAATCTGTGGGCATTTTTTTTTTTTACTTGAAAAGTTTGTTCAAATTGATAGAATCAGGGTGCAGCGCTGTTCTCAACGAGGACATGGAAGAGCAGAAAGGTAACACGACTGAGTAGAAGGCTTCTTAAGCGGATGGATGTACGGATGTGGTTGTAATGGTTCCTTCTGTTTATAGTTTTTTTCAGCAGAGTGACCAGGGTTTCTGGCTTTGAACCTCAAATATAAAAATAACCCAGAGAGGTTTCTGTAGGGAACAGCTATTTTGGAGGGAACAGGGCTTTAAACGGCCGACGACAATAAGTATGGATTAATCAGAAATGAATTATTTAGCTTATCAATTAGTAGCAGGTTTTAAGATGCGATGAAAAGGCACATGCTTTGGGTTCCAACATGCCCAGATCTACTCTGTCACGTCACTGCTTCGCCTTGGTTTTCCCATCTGTAAAGTGGGTTTCATAACATGAGCTCTCGCAGGACGGATGCGAGGTTCACCCACAGGACACATAAAGTGCCTAGAGCAGGCGCCGGTGAGCGGTGATGATCACGCAGACTCCTCCGTGGCTCTGTCCTGATGCCTCTGTCTGCTGCTTCCTGGAGGAGGAGGAGGAGGAGGAGGAGGAGGAGGGAGCCGCGGGAAGGTACCATTCCACCCAGTCCTCACGTCACAGATGTAGCAACAGTGCATTGATACACGTTGTGTACATTTAGCTACAGTAAGAGCCTGGCAGAGTGAGAGTGAACCTACTGCATTGTTTGGCTTTTATTCCTAAATTCTATGAGCAGCAGGAAAATAGGGTAAAGCCATAGATTTGGTGGCAGCAGCCGGGACGCGCAGGCAGCGCCAGCAGGTTAACCAGTGACCACGGGAAACGCAGGTGCGGCCTGGACCACAGGAAGGGGAGGCCCCCAGGGGATCTGAGCAGGTGTCTGCGGGATCCGGCCTCAGGGCCTTCGCCTGAAATCTGTGTCCCAGTGAGATCCACGTGCCCAGGGATCCATGTGAGGCCCGCGCCTGGTGCAGGCATGGCCTGTGGGGTCATTCACTTCCCCTGCGGAACCCCTCATGCATTTGACTACTTTTCCTCCTCCCTGGGAGCGCACTTCCGAGAGGACAGCTTCATCATTCTGTGGCTCCCTTCCTGCTGGAGGCTGACTGGAAGGAGGGCTAGACACGGAAAAGGCGGGCGCAGCCGTAGCTCCCGCCCCTCAGCAGGCAACACTGTCAGGGCCGATGGAGACTGAGATTTCCCAACAGGTGCCCCTGGCCCTCACCGGTGGGGCTCATGGAATGAGCGTCGGCCTGTAGACTGAAGGGTCCTGGGTTCGATTCCGGTCAAGGGCACACGCCTGGGTTGTGAGCTCGATCGATCCCTAGTGGGGGACGTGTAGGCTGGCAGCTCCCCGCCCACCCCGGCCCGGAGCACCTGTGGAGATCAGTGGAGTTCCAGGGCAGGCTCCTCGGGGGTTCCCGTGCATCCGAATCCCCGGGACCTCGTCTCCAGGCAGAGACTCCCTCAGCAGACCGGGGGGGCTGGGGGGTTTGGGGGGGCTCTTTCCAACCACCTCTCACGTGCTGCTGCTGCTGCAGCTGCTGGTTTGGACCCAGAGGTTCCTGACTGTTGTGATACCTGCTGGTTCTCTCACGTCTTTATTGTGATCCGTCCAATCTTCTATGTAATTTTTTAAAAATGACTGAGCCACACTGTGCAGAGTATGAAAGAGAGCCAAGGAGTCTTGACTGGTGTGGCTCAGTGGATAGAGCATCGGCCTGCGAACTGGTTACACTGTGTGGAGTATGAAAGAGAGCCAAGGAGTCCTGGATGGTGTTGCTCAGTGGATAGAGCATCAGCCTGCGGACTGAAGGGTCCGGGTTCGATCCCGGTCCCGGGCACATGCCGGGTTGCAGGCTCGACCCCCAGTGTGGGCCGTGCAGGAGTCAGCCAGTGATTCTCTCTCATCATTGATGCTTCTATCTCTCCCTCTCCCTTCCTCTCACAAATCAATAAAAATATATTTTAAAAAAAGAGAGAGAGCGAGCGATCCAAGGCAATTTGCTCTGTCTCCAACAAGTTACACAGGGTGATTAGCGACACTGTGGGCAACAGAAGACAGCGTGTGAGGAAGCCAAGCTCTTCGACAGCACGGGAAGCGGTCCACCCTCTCTTTTCCTCCGGCGCTGTACCTGCCCCAAACAGAGAGTGGCTCCTCACTCTGAGGCCTGTCGCTGTCTTCTAATGCGGGTGGTCCGCACCTTTTCCCTTTTCTTTATTCAAAAAGGAAAAATCTTTATCGCTTCCGATGAGGACTCCGGGACTCCCGGCATGTGTCTTCTCCCTCTCATAGCAGCGACAGCGATGATAAGGGAGCCGAGGGAGGCGTGGGGTTCGTTTAAGGTCTGATAGCGAGGGACTGACCCAGCATCGGCGTGAAAAATTCAACTGTGAGTGTGGGGTCCTTTCGAGTGATCGGAAAAGCAATCAGTCTGGTTTGGACTGGGATGGGACATTTAAAAAATGAATCTAGTTTCATCTTAAAAGATCTTCAAGACGGTGAATTCCAACTGGAAGGACGGGAGACGCGACGACGGGACACAGTGACCCGGGGGAGATCGGCCTGACCATGAGTAACGGACACATTGGGGCGGCTGCAGGCACCGTATTCTGACGACGGAAAGAGCCAGCAGCGAGTGACGGCCTACCTGCCTGTCGTCGGAGTCGGGACGCCTCTGGTGCGCGAGGCGGACTTCCCTCGGGCCGTGGGGGCGTCCGCACTTTCCGAGCCGCCGTTCAGGTATGTCAGCTCCTGCAGCTGCGCCTGGCGGATCTCGTCGTTGTAGTCCTGGGGAGACAGGCAGCGTCACCGCCACAAAGACACGGGAATGGTCAGAACACGGAGCAAACGGGCTTTAAAAGATGTTTTTATTGGTTTCAGAGAGGAGAGAGGGAGAGAGAGAGAGAGAGAGAGAGAGAGAGAAACATCAATGATGAGACAGAGTCATGGACCGGCTGCCTCCTGCACACCCCACACTGGGGATCGAGCCTGCAACCCGGGCCTGTGCCCTGACCGGGAATTGAATTGTGTGAACTCCTGTTCATAGGTGGAAGCTCAACCACTGAGCCACACTGGCCGGGCAGCACACAATTTATTTTTAACAGAGGAAGGGTTAGGAAAATACTTGACCTCATAAAACAAGCTTTGAGTTTGTTAAAATGAAAATGTATCAGTAAGTTTTAAAAAGTGAAAAAACACAGTATTGTTCCCCAAGGTGAAATGTCCTACCATCAGCCATAACTCATCCCCCTCAGGCATGAATTCCAGGCGAAACATTTATAATGAAGTTAAAATCGCACATGAAACATGGGCAAGGCCACTCACAGCTCAATTCCACCGGCCGCCGCCGAGCACGTGTGAGGCGCTGAGCAGCAGACGCAGGCGGGGCCGGCTGGGCCCTGCACGCTCTTCCGTACATTTCCATGTGGATGTTGCACACGGAGCAAAAACGCAACGTTTCCAAAACTCAGCACATCATCTTGTACTGGGAAACCTGCCCTTCCGCGTCTTATATTCCTGTCCCCACAGCCACCTGAGGGGCTCTGGGAGTCACCCCTGACTCCTCACCTTTCCTAACTCCCCGGCTCCATCAACCACCGGCAAGAACCATGTGTAACCAGCAGAGAAAAGTGTGACTTAGTTCACAATGAAAGGGACGTTCAGATGTGCGTGACCGGACAGGAGCGGCACCTCACTCGGCTGGAGGAGGAAGAGGGTTTCTGCAGGCATCACCCAAGGGTGAGTGTGAACTAGTTGCCGGAGAGGGGGCACCACCGTGTTCCCGACAGGGGGTGGGGGAGCATGTTTTAAGACCAACGGACTGGCGTGTTGCGCTCACTGCGAGCGGAAGGGGAGCTGAGGAGCAGGGCCCGGGTCAGTGTGCATACGGACGCTTTCTCTGGCGTGTCTGCGGCCCTGGGACCCCAGGAGACTCACTGGGACGCAGCAGTAGCGCGACCTCTCACAACCCACCTATAAATATGTTCCTGCCATGTGACTAAAAGTGTGTGAGGATCAGTAAGTTATTTGTAAAGCACACTCTAAATAAAACGTGCCGCACGAACGCTGAACGCTTGCCCGCTGCAAGTGTGAGGCGGCGTGAATCGTTCAGGTTAAAAATAGATCCCGGGAAAAAGCGGACGGGGGCCCTGTTCCCACACACGGAGGGCACGGGGGTCTGTGTCCGCGAGCCATGCACTCCCCGGGCGATTCCAGGGTCACAGAAGAGCGAGGACTCGAGTCCCCCCACTGGGGCCAGGGACTGTGCCCCTCCACTTCCTCACTCGTGTGACCTCGGCAGCGTGATGTAATCTCTGAAGATCTGTGGTCCCACAAGGAAAGGAGGGATGATGACCAGGCATTCGTGGGGACAGGTGAGGTCTCCTGGCCATGACGCAGGCGAGGCTCCAGGGTAGACAAAGGGCCCTGCAAGCACCAATGGCTGCTTCGTCACCAAGGACCTGAGTAAGGGAACGCCTGGCCGGTGTGGCTCAGATCGACCTATGAACCAGGAGGTCCCGGTTGGACTCCCGGTCAGGGCACATGCCGGACTGCCTCCTGGGTCCCCAGTGTGGGGTGTGCAGGAGGCAGCCCATCTGATCGATGACTCTCTCTCATCATGGAAGTTTCCCTCTCTCCCTCTCCCTTCCTCTCCGAAATCAATAAAAATATATATTTAAAAAGAAAAACAAAACCCGTGAAGGAAGAAGCTGAGCTGCACTGACGGGAATGAGGAACTTCTTGATCTCCTCCAGGGCGTGGCCCATGCGGGCGTAGGCCTCGGCGGGCGGGGCGAACACCTCGATGAGGACGTGCAGGTCGTCGTGGAGGTGGAAGTACTTGGCCTCCCCGCTTTTCCTCAGCTCTTCCTCCTGCGGAAACACAAGGCTGGTGGGAGGATGTGTCCTCGGGAGGAGAGAGGGAGGCGAGGAAATCTACCCAGAGCTCTTCGCACGTGGCTGTCCCAGAGGATCCGCCCCGAGCCAACGCCACCTGAGGAAGAGAGTTAAAGTATGAACAGGTCCTGCCATTCTGACCCCAGGCTTTCAGGAAAACGCCAAGGCTTCCAGCTGGCACTCAGTCTCAGCTCCTGTCTGGGGCCTGAGAGCCCCGCTCCTGTCCTCTGCCCCCCGCTGGGCTCCCCGCCTCCTCGGGCCCCTCCAGGCTCCACACAGACCGCCTTCGTGATCCTCGCACCTGCTACGAGGCCCAGCTCGCTCCTGCACTGGCCAGGCTGTGTGCCCGCGGTGCCGTGATCAAGTCCTGACCAACCTCCAAAATGCCTACGCGCCTTCCTGTCCCTCGGCCCTTGCCTAACCCCTCTCGCGGCAGCGATCGCATGGAGCGCAAACCCCACGGTCCCTCTTGGTGCTGCAACCTTCTTACTCAGAAAAGGGCTCGGCACAGAGCAGATGCTCAACAGATACTCACTGAATGCGTGACTAGTTATCTATTCATGTCTATGGCCATTGGCTGATGCAGGTGTCATTCAAAAAGCGTTTCCACATGCCAGGCACTATACCCTCCCTGAGGACACAACGGTGAACAAGACAAATGGCGGGCTTTGTTAGATGATTGTACGTAATCGTGATACACATCTTCTAATTTATTGGTTGTTGTTTACACAATGAAATTTAGGGGGAAATTAGGAGGAAAAAACCAGATAATTAAGGGACCAGTGATTTTGCTACATCATCTTTATCTTTTTTTCTTAAGATTTTTTTTTAATTGATTTTAGAGAAGGACGAAGGGAGAGGGAGAGAGCTTTTTTTCTTAAGATTTTTTTAAATTGATTTTAGAGAAGGACGAAGGGAGAGGGAGAGAGAGAGAGAGAAACATCGATGTGAGAGTAACACATCACTGGCTGCCTCCTGCATGGCCCCCCCTACTGGGGATCAAGCCCACAACCTGGGCTGGGAATCCCACAGGCGACCTCTCCTGCCTCCAGGACAGATGAGTCTGGGAAACAAAGCATCAATCAGGACAGGAATGTTAGTGAGTCCTTACGCTGACCTGGCCTTGAAGGAGAATTATTTCACACACCTACTGAGAATTCACCTAAACAGGCCGGGGCCTGGGGGCTCTCTACTGTTACACGGCGTCCCATGAGCGTCTGATGCACCGCCATGTTTTCATCAAGTAAGAGAATGACCCGCCCTGAGCAAGCAGGCCGTACACTCTGGATGCTCTGAGTCGCAGTTCCCTTACATTTAAAAACAAAACTTTATCTCCCATCATGTGTCCGAGGATGTCATGGAGGAACGCCTGGTGTCTGAGCCGCAGTACCTGCTCAGTAAACTAACGGTGGTGATTTTCATATGGAAGCTGTTATTTAGACGGACTCGCGGGCGAGGCGGCTGGACTTTGTCTAAGTGACTTCCTTGTCTGACACATACCATTGTTCAACCCTTCACGGAAAGTGATCACTAAACACAGATCTGGTTCTTAGTAACATCAGCCTTTAAAGCGATGACAGAGCGACACAGTGACGGGGGAGAACAACGTGCGTGGCAGCACATGAGCAGTGGGAACGTTTTTTTTCAGAACTTGTGTATTTCAGAAAGTGATTGGTGAAAATCACAGTAATTGTGGCTTTCTGAAAAAGGAAGCACGCCGCCTGTCAGAATGGCTACCACCCATACATCAACAACAACAAGAGCCGGTGAGGATGTGGAGAAAAGGAACTCCGTGCACCGCTGGCGGGATGCCGACTGGTGCAGCCACTGCGGGAGGCCGTATGGAGTTTCCTCAGAAGTTAAGGATGGAACTGGCTCTTGACCCAGCGATTCTGGGGATTTATCCAAAGAGACCCGAAACAATAATTCAAAAGAATATATGCGCCCTTATGTTCATGGCAATGTTATTTACAATATCCAAAATTTGGAAGTGCCCGTCAGCAGATGAGTGGATAGAAGAGCTGTGGTACATTCACACAATGGAATACTACTAGGCCATAAAAAAGGAGGAAATCTTACCTTTTGCAACAGCATGGATGGGCCTGGAGAGGGTTGTGCTAAGGGAAATAAGCCAGTCAGAGAAAGACAAGGACCACATGATCTCACTTACATGTGGAATCTGATGAACAAAATAAACTGACCAACAAAATAGAAACAGACCCATGGACACAGAGAGCAGACACACTGCTGTCAGGGGGAGGGGGACAGGGCTGGGTGGAAACGGTGAAGGGATAAGCAAAACAAAAAGGAAAAGACAAAAACACTCACAGACACAGACAACAGTGGGGTGATTACCAGAGGGAAAGGGGGCGGGAGGAAAGGGTCCAGGTAAATGTGATGGAAGGAGACAACACAACACAATACCCAGATGACGGGTGTAGAATTGGACCCCTGAAACCTAAATAATTTTATTGACCAACGTCACCCCAATAAATTCAATGAAAGAAATAAATCAATCTTGAAATTCTAAAAATAAAAAAGGAGGCAGTTAACATGAATACATCCAAGAAGAATAACTATGTGCAAGCAATTGTTAAAACGTTCTAAACCAATAGTATTAACTTGACAAAATACATAGGGTACCAAAGGAAGGGCAAAAAAGGCAAATAAAAATACCTGCTTTATAAAGTCAATGATACGGAGCACAGGCCACGGAGAAGACCCTGAGAAGCATGTCCGAAGTGCACACAGCGATGGTGAGCGGACAGACAACTCCTTGCTCTCCGTGACAATGTCAGTATCCCTGTGCTTTCTGCAAGGTGACATACCGTGTCTAGAATCAAAACTATAGGGGCCCGGCCAGCAGGGCTCAGTGGCTGAGCCTCAACCTATGAACTAGGAGGTCACAGTTCGATTCCCTGTCAGGGCTCATGCCCGGGTTGTAGGCTCGATGCCCAATGTGGGGCGTGCAGGAGGCAGCCAATCAATGACTCTCTCTTATCAATGATGCATCTATCTCTCCCTCCCTCTGAAATTAATAAAAATACATTTTAATAAAACATAGGTATCACAATATTATTTTATAAGTGAATATAAGTGAATATAAAGGTCACAAATGCAAGTTTAAGACACTGAATTGGCCAGCGTAACTCAATTTTCCAAACAGTCTCATAAACATCACCCTCTATAACATTTTCCTATAACTCCTTGAGATTCCAGTTAGCTTTTATATAATACTAGAGGCCCGGTGCATGGATTCGTGCACCGGTGGGGTCCCTCAGCATGGCCTGCGGGGATCGGGCTGAAATCAGCAGTCCAACGCCACCTGCCGCTCCTGCCTGCTGCTCCTGCTCATCTCAGTCCCCGCTGCGCCTGCTGCTGCTCAGTAGGCTCACTGCCACTCCGCTGTGGTCTCCAGGCTGTGGCAGCCAGTCGTGAGCCCTGCGTCTGGTGCCCGTTGGTCAGCTGAGCGGTGCTCCCACTGTGGGAGCACACTGACCACCAGGGGGCAGCTCCTGCATTGAGCGTCTGTCCCCTGGTGGTCAGTGCGCGTCTTAGCGACTGGTCGTTCGGTTGTTCAGTCATTCAGTGGTTCAATCGCTTAGGCTTTTATATATATAGACGAATGGATACAGTGGATGATCTAAAGGTGCATTACATACTGGCTAAGAACGCAGCCACGTGTCTACAATGAGTCTTACCTTCGCCTTGTCTCTCATGGAGCCTTTGCCAAGAATGGACATTTTGGTCAAGGTCTCTTCTTGTAAACGCTTCAGAGAATTGCCACGTGGACCCAGAAGCTTCCCCACAAAGTTGAACTAGGAAAAACACAGAAACCAAACTTGTAACATCCGTATCTGAAGGTAACTTCTCACTCCCGAATACTAGGAAACACGGTGGCATGCTCCACATCATTGGTGAATGACAAACAGGTCAGTTCCCGCTACAGAAATCACGCTGGTTCCACACACCACAGGTAACAGGGCTAAACACGGTAAAATAAAACCACAATTGATATGTTTCTCTATACCAGTCATGCCCGTGATGGCTGTATTTCACAACCTGTAAATGCAGTTAATTTCCTTGACAACAGGCACACACATTCAACACCCACCATGGACAGCGCGAGGGTTAGAGGACACAGGAGAGGGAAAATGCCGCTACACGTCCGTCCTGCAATGTCCCTCGACTGGTCATAGCGTCTGGGTTCTGCGACCTGGTCAGCACTCAGCCTTGGCCAGTCAACCAATGGAGGCTGACTTCAACATCCCGCGGCTGACAGAAGCTTCGCCATAAAGCCCCCGATCTCTTTGACAACTAGCTATGGGGATGTGGACCACTTACGCAGGCTGGACGCTTCGGGCTGTTTATTAACAAGCAGAGAAGTGAGTTCCTGAAGGACCCGGACTCTGAGGCGAGGCTACCCGGGTTTTAAAACCCGGCTTTGCCATTTGGCAGCTGAGGAACCCTGGGCCAGTTACCCAACCTCTGCACACCTGGGCTTCCTCAGCTGTTCAACGGGACTGTCCCGGGGACTCAACTGGTCCATATAAATAGACTGGAGGCCTGATGCACAAAATTCATGCAAGGGGCTCGGCCCCCGCAGCCGCAGCAGCTGCTTCTGCCTCGGCCCCCGCTGCCGCGGCTTTGTCCAGAAGGTTCTCCGGAAGGTTGTCCGGAAGGTCGTTCGGTCTAATTAGCATATTACGCTTTTATTATTATAGATTATTTAGAATGCTTGGTGCAAAATAGACAATAAGTATGTCTTGAGCGAAAGAATTATCATTTGATATGTCACACAATGTTTGAAGCCTCGCTGTAATGAAGGTAAACCATGAATACTTCTCACTCCCGAACAGAAAAGCAGCCTGTTTACTACCCAGAGAGCACCTGTCCTCTCAGGCACGCTCGTTGGTAACAAACTCATGCCTTCCCTGCTCTGAGGTCGGCCACCGTACAGGGGCCGTGCCACGGCCGCACCGCTGCTGTTTTTAAGAGAAAATTGTTCCTCCGTTTGCCTTGCTATGATAATTGAAGTCATTTTCCTGAAATACCCACTTTAAGGAAAATCAAAGTACTTTTTCCTTGCCCACTTTTCATTTTATTGGTCTTCAACAAGACTCAAGTATTTTTAACCTTTTCTTGCAACTTTTTTATTTTTTAAATTTATGTAAATTACGGTTTTAAAGTATATCAGTAATAGAGAGTTGAAAATATCAGACAAAACTACAAGGTTGGGGGGACCAGTCTCTCGACCCGCCCACCCCTACCTGCTCCTCGTGCCCGATTTTCTCTGCTGTATCTTTTTGGAATTTGTATTATTTGGATTCTGGCGCCCTGGGTTGGATTTCTAAGATTCCTCTTTTTTCCCCTCTTTCGTCTTCTCACTCTTTAGTTTTCCAAAGATTTAATTACACTGAGCTGCCACATCTATTGATTCTTTCATTTCCACAATCAGAGGTTATACTACTGACAGCATTTTCGTCCTGTGTTCTCTTTATGTCCGTTTAGAAATGTTTATGGAGGTTCCCGTCTTTCTGAGACTCTGAACGGCCATGGCCCTCACCCGTCCGAGTGTGTGAACTGGCCTCGTTCTCAGCACGGACAGCCCTCAGCAGAGCGGCCCTCCTCTGCCCCGTCCTCAGCACGCAGCCTGCGGCTCTGAAATGCTGCCTGAAGCTTCCTCTCATGGCACCTGACAATCTGCTGTGCCTGGCAGCCCCGGTTTCCATCAGAACCTACTCCAGCCCGGCCGACGTGGCTTGGTGGTTGAGCATCGACCTATGAACCAGGAGGTCATGGTTTGATTCCTGGTCAGGACACATTCCGGGGTTATGGGCTCGATCCCCAGTGTGGGGTGTTCAGGAGGCAGCTGATCAATGATTCTCTCAACACTGATGTTTCTATCTCTCCCTCTTCCTCTCTCTGAAATCAATAATAATAATAATGCTTTAAAAAGCCTACTCCAATTTTGGTATCAACACTTCTTTTCTCCTGGGCCAGGCATCGACTTGAAGAGGAATGAATAAAAATCACCCACCAGCCTGGCTGGTGTTGCTCAATGGTTGAGCATTGACCTATGAACCAGGTGGTCACGGTTCGATTCCCGGTCTCCTACGAGGAGGTATCACCTTGGTGGCCAGGATTCCAAGAACCCATCAGTTAGCACAGATACCCCTTGACTTATGTATGGAGCAGCGCCCCCATTTTCAGGTGGCGCCTCGCTCTGGCCCTCAGTGGCATCTCTCCGGGTCTCCTCTGGGGCGGCCTCTTCGGGAAGCCTCGCACCTGGTGCTGGGTTAAGACGGGCAGACGCCGGGCCATCAGCAGGAAGAGCCTCCGGAAACCTCACTTCTTCTCAGACAACCTCCCCCCAAGTCTTCTCTGTTCCACCCGATAAGCCCCTTCACAGGAACTGCGTCTCCAGCCCCGAGTCTCCCCGAGGTCTTCCCACACTGGCCAGCGGTGTCTGGTGGCTGCTCTCACCCCACCAGCTCAGGGCTCTGGGGCTGTCTCCCTCGGCATCACCATCGTCACCCACCTACACCCGCCGGAATGTTCCTGGCTGCCTTTGCCTATTGTTGTCTCACACGCACCTTATCTTCACGGATTTGTACCTTTTTAATCCATTTAGAGCCATGTGAGCGGGTTTCAAGAATGGTATAAAATTACATTGAGGCGGTCAAACAGCCATATTCACATTTCTTTAACAGTCACATATCCCCGGTTAAGAGCTGGGAGTCCTTGGAAGTCATCCGGCCCAAGCATCTCATTTCACTCTGAGGAGACGGAAGTCCACGGAGTGCTATGATTTGTCAAGGTCACTTGATGAAGCATAAAAACACAGGGATCCATATAAGAAGGAGAAGCCCTGGCTATGGTTCTATGTACCTGTAGGAGTTTCTCTCTCCATTTAGCTTCGATGAGCATTTTGTTCACAGAAAGTACATGAAGGAGCGCGCTGACAATCAGAAGGCCTGCTATTCCTGTCTTTGCTCGACCACGGATTGTGTATTAGTTCCATCTCCTCATCAGGTTAACCTGCGAGAGGCTCTCTCCTCCTCCACCACACAGGGGTCATGCCACCTACTGCAAGTGCCCGTCGTGTGAAATAAACACAAAAGTGAATGAAAATCACCCACCTGCCCGGCGGGTGTGGCTCAGTGGTTGAGCATCAACCTATGAGCCAGGAGGTCACAGTTTGATTCCCAGTCAGGGCACAGGCCTGGGTTGTGGGCTCGATCCCCAGGGTAGGGGAGTGCAGGAGGCAGCCAATCAATGATTCTCTCTCATCATTGATGTTTCTGTCTCTCTCTCCCTCTCTGAAATCAATAAAAATATATTAAAAACAAGCAAACAAACAAAGATCAAGTGCGGAGCACTGGGACAACGCGATTTCACCTGAGCTCTGGGCCCTGCGTGACAGTGATGTTGACGAAGTCCTCCGACCTGGCAATGGCTTCCTCCGAAGAACTACTCTCCTCAGGTGAGACCCGTGATGACCCCGTTTACCCACAAGGCCAGGCACAGGCCTCCAAATTCCCCTGCTCTGCTCCCTAGAAGCCAGGCTGGCCTGGCGGTTCTCACAGACCGTCAGAAAGTGCTCCCTCACCTGCCTTGATCACACACCAGTCAGGGATCCTCTTCAGGCAGGGCTGTTGTTTTATGTGGTAACTGGATTTGCAATCAGACAGTAAGAACTTACATTTTTAAAAGATTTTATAAAACTGATCTTCAGAGCGAGAAGGAGGGAGAAGGAGAGAGAGAGAAAGAAACATCCACATGAGAGTGAAACATTGATCGGCTGCCTCCTGCTCGTCCCCTACCGGGGACTGAGCCTGCAACCCGAACATGTGCCCTGAGCGGGAATCCAACTGGCAATCTTTCGGTGCAGGGGACGACACCCAACCAACCGAGCCAGGGCTGAACTTGAATACATTTTAACTTTCATTTTTATTAATGACTAGTGGCCCGGTTCATGCACCGGTGAGTTCCCTTGGCCTGGCCTGCGGGGATCGGGCTGAAACCAGCTCTCCGACATCCCCCGAGGGGTCCTGGATTTCGAGAGGGTGCAGGCCAGGCCAAGGGACCCCCCTGGTGCATGATCGGGGCTGGGAAGGGACCGTGGTAGGGCTCCAGGGCGTGTCCGGCCAGTCTGGCCCAGTCCCGATCAGCTGGACCCCAGCAGCAAGCTAACCTACTGGTCAAAGCATCTGCCCCCTGGTGGTCAGTGCACATCATAGCAACTGGTCGAAAGGTCAAACGAATGGTCAGACACTTAGCATATTAGGCTTTTACTATGTAGGATGTCACTCTGTGCATATATGTGTACAGGTGAAAGTGTGACCATAACCACAACCACTGACTTTTCTTCAGGTGCTAATTATTCTATTACAAATATATATTACATTATAGATGTTACAGTTGCAAATAGAAAGTTTTTCCAATGGTTACGAAGATGGTGAATCAGCATACAGTAAGACAGCAGAGTTTCACTGTGTACTGTGTGCCATCCGATAATTAGGTCCTTTGTTGGGGAGGCCTGGTGTCCTGAACCCGCCGTAATTGATCTAAGCCGTATGTGTGACCTGACCCTGCTCCTGGGGGAACAATTAGTTACGCTGTCATTTCATAAACAATGAAGCTTCCGGAACATGTCACTGTCTCCATCCAAATGTGTCCCCTAATTGGCTGCTCCCCAAAAGGCTGATTAGTCTGACGGAAGGCTGCCTGGCTGCCCTCTCACTCAGCTTGGAACTGAACTCGTAGCCTCTGCCACCACATGCCGAGCACGGGGTTCTGCCAGAGCGCCCCAGCC